CAAACTCCCCAGTAATGTGGTTTGCGTTGATCAGATGCAACTGACCACATTTATGAGCTTAAACAAAAGAGGGGTCTGTGTGGTCTCTCTCAGTTGACCACCAACTGAGTGAAGTCAACACCAAATACAGTTTCCACAGCATGCACTCACACAGTACATGTCACGCGTGCTGTTAGTCAATATCAGGATATCTGCTGACCAGGTGGCACACAACCATACAGGCTTATATACTAGACAAATCAAAGGGGACCAGCGTCTAAGTCTTTGTTATTTTTCACTAGTAGTTGTCAGTAAAATCCTCTCTGACATGATAAGCATTCCAGCAGACAATGTGTGTAATTACTTTATGCCTGTTGCACAACAATGCACACTCGAGTATAATGTGATACTCATTTCCATCGTCAGGGCCTAAGCTTTCAAAAACATCTCCAGCATATTTCCTTATGTCAAGAGTTGGCAACAGGCTTGTCTGAAATAGGTTGCAGGATCCTTCTCTCACTGCCAATTGAGCAAACTACAACCGCAATACATGCCTCTTCAGTTGAGAGAGTCTAGCAGTGAAACACAAGTAGAAAGTGGAGGTGGCTAGCCAAAACATCCCACACCGCACTGGAAGAAGGCAGGTGTCACTTGCACATGCAACCACAGTGAGTAAATGCTCTTCCCTTTACTTAGGCCAGTTTCACAGTGCATGCATAAGCAGCGTGTACTGTATAAGCAAAGTATGCATTGCTATGAGAAAGTTATTTTCCAGGTTACTATTTTCATTTACAAAGTACATGATGAAAAGTTTTTTAGGAGTGAGTTATTGAGAGCTACTATACCTGAATCTGCACTGCAGCCAACTCCCAAAGTAGTCTTTATATGCGGAACTTTGATTGTCTTTTTTCAATCAAAAGTTTAGTAGATTTTTATTTTATTAAAAAGCAAAACCTATATTGCAAAAAAATGGAGGTGATAAATAGGTCTAAAATGTAATTTTTTTTTACGTATCTATGTTTTATTTTTATAAATAAAGATTCATTTGCAGTGTGACAAATATTATAAATAGGTGTAAAATGTTATCTGGTCAATATTACCTTCTTAATTCCACCCACCATTAAGGAAGCTGTTATGTGTATAAGCCTGAAAAGAAACAAAAAACTATGGCTGTCAATTTAATAAAATAATTTTAATTAATTTAATGATTTCTGTAGTCTTTAGCAAGTAGAATGACACTGTAATAATGTAAATTTTGGGGAATTTGTTAAAAACGTTTTAATTTTAAAAAGCACAAACGTGCCTACAAGGCTATCGGCTCCAACAAATTTGATGAGTTTTAACATATTTATTTAAATGGAATGTCATTTAAAATAAAAATTTACAGCAGACATAATTGCATTCCCTTGTGGCCCCCTGGGCTTTGCCACTGCTGACACATTAAAGGTGCAGTGTGTAATAATTTTGAGTATCTTTTAACAGAAATGCAATATGACATCTAGTGTTGTCACGGTACCAAAATTTCAGTATTTGGTACCAATACCAGTTAAAATTCACGGTTCTCGGTACCAATTTCGGTACCAAAGCTTAGTTTAAATTTACATATATTTAAGTGTTTATCACGGTTACAAGTATGGAAACTGTACATTTGTATTATAAACACTTTAGAAAAAGATTAGATAAAATGACCTAAAATAAACAATAGTATACACTAACACATTTTTAAAGTTGTTTGTAAAGTTTTAATCCATTATTTATTTAATGCACAATGAATTAAGTGAACAAACATGAACAATCAGGTGTTTGTAATAAATAACATTTTCAAACATTAATTAATGTTGTAAAAATATATTGTTCACTCAATGTGTTGATAACTAAGTAATGTTGATGAATGGTATCTTTGTAGCATTACCATAAAACATGTTTTATTTGACTTGACTGTCCTTTTATTTAATCTAAAACTGCATTCATATTTAATTTTAAAAAGGCTTTTTAAACCTGCTGAGTTATAAAGGCAAGAATACGCCTAGAACTGGCACTGACATTAAATGACAATACTAATGCCAGTAGCCTACTCTGGTGTCGGGTGGATACTACTGTGCTCATTTACTCGTAAAACTACCCCGAAAGCACTTTAGAGGCCGTTCACATGTCGCGCGTGTTTTTTAATTATATTTTTGCGCGTGCTTATTCTTTCCAAAGCGCTTGCTCTCACGCGGCGTCTGTCGTTGCTATGCAACGCCAACGAGTTTTTATTATGAGCGCGCTTGAATCGCGCCTATATTTGAAATTGCGAATTTGCATGTAATCGGCCTCTTATGGCAACGTGACATTAGCCTAATCCAAAATATTTCCATATGTGGCTCTTTCCTCCTTTCGTTTCAACAAGTGGATTCAGAGAGAGAGAGCCATATCAGCGTTATAAAGAGGACGCAACTGTGCACGTTTCAGACATCGCGTCTAGAACAGAACTGGATTAACCTGGTACTCGGTACCTAGAAAAGCTGGTACCGTAACATTTTTTTTTTTTTAGTACCGACTTGGTACCGAAGTACCGAGTTTTTTGACAACACTAATGACATCCATAACTATGTTTTCAGTGGTGTATAAAGAACTTACTTAATACACCGTAATGTTTTTATTACTTTAGAACGAGACATTTATATCTACATAACCGCGGGCACCCCCTTCTATGAAGGTCGACATTGTAACGTTGAGGCAGGAGTGAAGCTGAGAGAATCCAAGAGCAAGCATTCATTTAATAAAAAAGGGCAAAACAAGAACTCAGGACAGGAACAAGACACAGCTACAAACAATAATGACCGAAAAACCACAACTGAAACAGAAGTATAAATACACAAACACACAAGCTATACAAGATATCAAAGGGGCGTGATCACGTTTGAATAACTCAAAATGCCCCAGAACCGACTTGTGTCCCTACTTTCCGTGATCAGTCACATATAATGTGGACAACATTGAATAAATTCATTTTTGTTAGGTCAAAGATACTGATAATTAATCACTCAAACCTCTTTATCTAAACCTCTCAACATAACCAAGGGACTCGCGCGTCCTCCATGTTTGTAGTTTCTTAACACTTTTTACTCGTGTTTGTAGTTCTAATGGAATCGTCGTCTAACGCGCAATGGGTTGTGGGCAATATCGGCCGTTAGAGTGTGCATCGATCTACACTTCGGATTCTGACCGGAAATAGTAGACCATCCAGGTCTCTTTGAAACACTCATTTCAACATACTACAATTTGTGACATACTAATTCTATTTTCGAATACTATTTAGGACAAATAGTATGTGAATTGGGACGCAGCAAATGTGTCGCCATGTTTGTACCGTAGCTGATAACGAACAAACATTGCTACAGGCGCGTTTCGTCACTACCTTGAAAGAGAAGCCGCAGAAACCTAGAAGCTAGCCATAAACACTGTGAGTGGTGACTTTTCCTTGTCAGTGGTGTAAAATATGTAGTTGGATTGTTTCATGTAACTTAGTTCTTCTCCCTCGCTGTGTTATGGCTTTGCTATGTGGGATGTTACAGGAATCACCAACCCCTCGATTGTGGTCGACGAGTTGGATCTTGGGAGCATTTTAAGTCGATCGCAAAGAGTTTTCAAAATCAGAGAATAAAAAGCCTATTGTGTGTAGTAAATAGTGTGTCTAGAGGATGCAGAGGTGCACGCTGTTACAGTCATGTCATTTCACCTTTGGGCTCATGCGGACGCGTCAAGTTTATACAAGGCTTTACACTCTAAAAAATGCTGGGTTGTTTTAACCCAATTTTGGGTCAAATATGGACAAACCCAGCCATTGGGTTGCATTTTTAAATTACATTTTTAACCCAATGTTTGAATTCATCCATATTTGACCCAAAATTGGGTTAAAACAAGAGTGTAGACAAGAGTGTAGTTTAGAGTGTACACTTTAACCAGCTCAGCCACAGTAAAAGCTCATATTTAGCCAGCTAAACCTTTACTACCCTGTTAGAAAAAAAATATAGTTGCATAGTTTCATGTGATTCTTCTCCCTCATTGTATTATGGGTTTGCTATGTGGGGAGAAATGTGCTAGTTACGTTTGTGAGACAATCAGCTGATTAATATTATTATATTATATATTAAGACCCTTAATCCTCACCAGACTATGGCTTTGTAAACTTCATCCATGATGTGGTTTATAATGGTCTGTGGTACAGAAACAGTGACAATGTTAAACACTCTTGGCTTACTCTGGCTATTGTCTGCTGTCTCAGACGACGATATGTTTGTCCCATTTTATTCGACTCACAACCGAACCGCTAGATGCCGCCAAAAATCACACACTGCACCTTTAAACAATAATAAAAAAAATCTATTATTTTTTCCATCTTATTTATTTATTCAATTAAAAGTGAATCAGTGATAAACTACAAATATTACTTCTTGTTCCAAATATTCAGCCTAGAATGTTGAACTTAAATGTGACGTCGAAGTTTAAATTCTGACAACCTGTAAAAATGTGTACTCATGGTATGTACATAGATTGATAATTTCCTGTCTCGGATACATAACTCCAGCACCAAACTGTCGTACTTACGTCCATGTCTAGATTTAATACATACTTGGAAAACTTCAAGTGCCTCCTGCAGCATACTTCCTCCTTAGGAGAACAAACTCTACCGGGTTTTCTCAGCGTGTGGAAAAAGACTATTAGTCAGCCAGCCCACGTCACAGCATGTTTACACCATCAGCTCTGGTTCTGTGATGCAGTAAAGGAGGGGGAGCACCACACAACATCCTATCCCAGCCCTGGTCAGTCATCTTCCAAAACTGACCATAAACATCAGTTCTTATTACATGGCAACAGGACGCTTTCCAAAAACCATGCTTCCCATTGCTCAGTCCAAACACTTCAGAGAGTGTGTACAAACAGAGGCCAGCAACCCTGAAGCCTCAACAGCAGCGAATCACAGAGAAGATGGTCGTCACTTAAAATAGAGCTATATTTGGTGTGGAAAGTTACCATACCTCCGACACAGAGTGGGCAGCTGGTGAATCCTGGTGGTTGGCGAGAATGAGGAAAGGAAGGGTGCACAGCTGAGGATGCTGCATGGCCAAGTGGAGCTCAGACCGGGAAGCCTCCATCTCTTCATCTGATGCAGTACTATTGAGGACAAACACTACACCTTGGGAACCTTGATAATATCGGCTCCAGTATATCTTGATGGTCTCAGCTCCTAAAAAATGGGAAATAGTAATGATGTACTGTACCATGTGACCCTGTGTTCACATATGATGTGTAATTTTGAATTAAATTAGCTACGCCCTACAGCAAGATGAACTGAAATTTAAATTCAAAATGACAGGAAGAATAATATACAGAGTTGTAAATGAAAAGAAAATAAATACAGATAATGCATTCTGTGAAAAAACTGTTTTTCCACTGTGGTCCACAAAAGTTAACTTAAAATATATAGAAGAAATGTATGAATTTAATAAAAATAATTATAGGTGATATCCATCCAACATCCATTCTTCAAGGCTGTTAAGCATTTTTTCCCCAATATTTGCAAAGCAAACATGTTAATAGTTTGTATTGAAAAACTTTCTATTTTAGCTTAAAATGTTATTCATTTTTATTTCACTTCCTTACATCCAAATTGCAATTCTGTATCCTGTTTGCTACTTGAATTTAAATTCAAACTGAGGAAATGAATTGGAATTTAAAAATGCATTCTAACATTAATTCTGAATGGCACACAACCCTTGTTTAAAGCCAATTACAAGTCTTTAATTTCTGATGGTAGAAGGTTCACATTCATAGATTTAGTCTTGCACAAATCTGAAATATTCATTGGGATATACATGGCAGACTCACTGAAGAGATCATGCAATAAAATATTCCTCATCCTCTTTCCTTATTACAACAGTCTTCAACAGTCAAATCATATTATGCTGTTACAGTGCTCCTCTTGATTTTGAAAGTTTTAAAATCTTTCAAAACGAATCCCTTATGCTTAGAAGAATACTAAACATGGTCTGATTTGAGCCAAAACAAAAATGAAAGGGGGAAAAAGGACATAAATCATCAAGCATTATTCTGTCACGATAGACCACATCACATCAGACCACGTCAAGTCATGTAACTGCAAACAAATCTAGTGAGATCTTGATGCAAGTGTTAGAAAAAAGTGTTCTTGAATTCTCAAAACAACATATTTAGCGGAAACTGCAAGAAATAAGTCACACTCATCATAAAAGAAGCATTTTGTTTTACTTGCAATAGTGTAAAATAACAGCACACAAGTCTCCTGGGGAGATGTGAAATGACAGTATGGTCATTTGCTCAGTGTTTTTTAACAGTTCAGTTCAAACCAATGATTTGGTTCTGCCATTTCATGCATCTGCGCAACAAGATTCTAGTAATTCAGCAACTGATTTAGAGTTTGAGTTGAACTTTATTGTCCATTCAGTTTGTCACAGAGTGGAAGTTTGTTTTTGGCACAGGTGACAGATACATTCACATTAATAGTATTACAAATATAGTAATGAAAAGCTATGTAAAATAAAAATGACACAACCCTGTCCATTTTTGTTCAATTTCAGTTTTATTGATCAGTAATAGTCATGTATAAGGAGGTATAAGAAGTTATACAAGGTATAAGAAGTTATACAAGACAATAATTAAAGTAAACGATTCAGACAAATATACAGCAGGATAAAATGTTAAAATAGCCTAAATATTAAGTTATGAAACTTAATTTTGCCCTCAGCCAAAACAATTTGGCAGGTAACAAATGATACATTAATGAGACAAAGATTGAATTATATCTCATGTTTATAGACTACAGACATCAGAGCCAGCGAACATCAGAAGCACTGGGCTGTTCTCAGCGGGGTCTGAGCGCTGAGCGGCTGGTGAATGCCTGAAAACGTCTCACTTCTCCGAAAACGTCAGATCAAAATTTTAAATAGCCACTATCTTTATAAATCTGATTTGAGCTTTAAAAAACTACATTCTCGACTGAAAAAAAAATATTAAAACTACATTTTGGGACATAATAACAGTAGTATTTTTAAATTTTGCGTCCTTTCTCCTCTGAACATTACTATTAATAATTACATTATGACTAAAATCAGAAACAAATGTTCAGGCTTGTTTGTGAAAGGTAATTCCTTGTGACCTGTTCTAAATTGTGTGGCGATTTGTATAGCCCGGCCCAAGAAGCACACGAAACAGGCATTTTTTTTTCAATTCCAGGTATAAGAGGTATGGGAAAGTTGCCCTCCACATTGCATCTACGCGCGAAATCACCAAAGTGTAAAGCAATATCTCTGGTTGTACGATGTGTATGATGTCATTGACATTTGCTCAATTGTCAAAGAGCAAATAAGTGACACTAAAAAAATATAACACTAATGTGTAATTTTTTTTTTGCATCTCCTTCCGAATACAACATTCAAATTGCTAAATATGTAGATTCTGTGGAGTTGAGTGGGTGAAGATAGCAAACAGGCCTGGTCATCTAATTGGATCTGTGTACATGTCCCATACCCATCTATCATCATACTGACATCTTCTGCCACCTATTGGTCAATGGCCCTGTCAGAAAGTCAAATGTAAATTTGATGGGAAAACATACTCAGAAAACCACAGTCACTGATTTTCCATGAAGCATCAAGACATAATTCAAAATATAGTCAGACAGAATAAAGGAGTACCCGATGTACATGATGTTACAGGGAACCATTATGTAAGACACATGTGAGACTAAATTGAAATTTAGCACAAACAATTTTACTTCTATTAGGACCTGTTTTCTTGACCTGCCAAAAGAGATTAGATATGTTGAAATGGTCTGTCTTAGCTGCTAGTCTATCCACATCTCCATGGTGTTTCATCTTAACTCATTAAATATCAATCATTTCAGTCTGGATCACATCAGAAAGCTTGAGTTTTCAAATGACTTTCCACAGCTCGGATCCAGGTTATGGTATTTAGCTTGAAACCATCTTACCACAGGCAGCATACAGTACAAACAATAACAGAGTCTCAGGTTTCTTTTCTCTTTAAAGGGGACACATCATGAAAATCAGACTTTTTCCATGTTTAAGTGCTATAACCAGGTCCCCGGTGCATCAACCAACCCAGAAAATGTGAAAAGTGACAACCCGGTAACTTTGTTTTGGTAAGCCTTTCTCATCAAGCATGCCAAAAAATAAGCCGATCAGATTTCTTAAGATAATCTTATAATATTATTAAGATTATGATAATACCGCCACCATTTGGTTTTCGCAAGCAACAACCGTGTAACCAGTTCTAACGTAATGGCAAAAGTTTGAGCAAAGCATGCAAACTGTTCTGCCTTTGGCTACACAGACAAGCACAGAACACTATTTAGCCAAAAATGTCACAGACGACCTCAGGGAACTGTGTCTACTTGTGTAAAAGTTAAACATAATGGTGCATGCAACTCAATGAGATGAATCAATGTAACAACTATAAAATGTATCCACTAACCATTCAGAAGCATCCAGGTGCAGTCTCTCCGTAAGGCTACACTCCGCTACTGGTTATTTCTGAGATTTTGGATGAGTACAATTATTTGCGTGTTTTGTTATTGAGCAGCATCCAAGCTAGTTTAAAAAGATCAACATGAAGGGGGAGGGGCAAACTAATTTGCATTTAAAGGGACAGACACAAAAATGCAACTTTTTTGCTCACACTCAAAAAGGGGCAAATTTGAAAAGCTATAATAAATTATCTGGGGAGTATTTTGAGCTGAAATTTCACACACATTCTGGGGACACCATAGATTTATATGAAACGAGGCATAATATGTCACCTTTAAATATAAAAGAGTAACATACTGTGTGTGTCATAAATAACATAGAAATATACTAAAATAGAAAACAGTTTAAATTCTAATAATATTTCACTATTTTTTGTTTGGTGAGCAGCCTTGGTGAGCAGAAAAATTTGTTTTTGTATATGTAGAAAAAATATCCAACAAAATCAGTGCAGCATTTAAGTGAGTGATTTTGCTTTTATACAAATCTTATTAAAAATAAGTTATTGTATAACTTGGGTTTAAGACTAAATTTGGTCAGTTCACATTTTTTTGGTTGGTGGAGAAAAAAAAGATAAAGCCAATGTCTCATGCAAAATAGACTGGAAAAGTGTTTATGAGTGTTGCAAAATGGCTGAGATTTCTGTTCTGCTCTGGAGCACTGGAAAGATAGAAAACCCGGACAAGTGATGAAAACCAATTGACCAATCCCATTTGAGAATGCTGTCATCTAGAATCCTATCCCCCTCCTCAATGCCTTATTAAAATTGTTGCAAGTTATTGTGATATCTTGTTTCAGCTAATCAGAAGAGCTTTTCTTTACAGTTAACACTATACTTTATTTTAACAAGAATAAATAAATGCATGAATGAACTACATAAATAGGTTAACCTTTAAAAATTCTCATCCAATGAAATGGTTGACAATAGGATTCTGCAAGGGGATAGAATAAGACAGCCAAGCCTTTTAAACATGGAATATTCTCTAGCAGGGTTCTACGCAAAGGTTTTTCCCAAGGAGCACATGTGCTCCTAATGAAAAAAGATTCAGATTTCCACTGCACAGGTGGGCCAATGTGCTTCCATTATATTTAGTTATATTTTGATCTATTATATAACTTCAAAATCAAATACTTTAATTCTTTTTTTATATTATAGTATATTACATTAGGCCTATATTGTATTATATTATAACCCTAAATAAAGAATCTCACAAAGTTATTGTTTAGGTTATATATTAGGCCTATATTTTATCGTATTATAAGCCTAAATAAAGAATCTTTAGACCCCACCGGGTACCACTACAAATAGGAAAAAGAGGCTACAATTTGCAAGAGCTCACCAAAATTGGACAGATGAAGACCGATGTAAAATCTTGCCTCCATTTCAGTGTAGACACTGAGGCCCTGTTTACACGAGAACGCTCGCGGGTTAATACGTAAAAATATTTTATCGGATGTGCATTTTTTGTTTACATGATGACCAGAGTGGATATCTTAAAAACGCTCCACCGTTGCGTTCCCTTCTAAAGGGTAAAAACACAAAAGTCTGCTAAAGAGTGAGGGTTGTACGCTGGCATGCAGACTTGGTATTTACTCGGACATTGCCACCTAGCCACCTGGAGTGCATATTTACATCGAATTTCACACACTTTTGCATCACCATATG